CGATTGGGGTTTAATACATTTGGACTTATTCAAAAGTAAAATAGTTTTCTGTGCTGCAATCTGTAGAAACACTGTGGCACTATTTCAAATCATGACTAATGCTAATGCAGAATGTTGTAGTTATTCAAACGTACAAAACAGTTGGTGAAAGTAAACATCTGCTTTTAAATTATATTTATTTGTAAACATTCTAGATCAAAAAGTCTGACATTGGCCCACTTAAAACCCACTGGGGCAGAGCCCTTTCGACGGATCTGCACCGAACTTCACTCGAACAATCCTTGAAAGATGCTTAATAATGCCTGAAAGTTTCATTACAATCTGTCGAGCGGTTTCGAAGTCCATAACGTATATACACACACATATATATATACATAGTTCCTCTTTTATAGATATAGATTTATGGAAATATTTTAGTAAAAATGTAATCAGACAAGTTGAAATTCGCTTAGTCTGCAGGTTTGCTGCGGTAGGGGTTTTATATAATTATCATGGGACGTGCTTGATGTAATGATGTGCAAAATTTATGTGATAAAAACATGTTTTACGTTTAATAATTTATATTAATAATATGCAAATAAGTACATGTTAAACTATTTAAAACACCTAATTAAAACACTATTTAGTAATAATACAGTTAAAATATGTTGGTTTTAAATTTTTTTTACAAATATTATTATCGATGTATGACCAGAAATAAACGGTACATTTTCGTTACAAATCTGCGTTAATGCAATTAAATCAATTATTTTCCTTTCAATTATATCATAAAGATATTGATGTTTGCCTAATATGTTTTTGGACACTATTGCATAATATGTTGGTACGTATTTACTAAAAAATGTTCTGAAATAGCCAGAGACATATTAAGTAGTTATATTTTTATTGTGAGTAGTTTACAGTTGACCTTTGAAAAAAAAATATAATGGCGAGACATTAAGCTGCATAATCAAACCAATGTATGGTAATGAGTCATAGCGTGAAATATTTAAAATATTTGCTTTCGCGACTGATTTTACTTTAAGGATTTTCAAGTAATAAATTATCTTGGTCTGTACGAAAACAATGAAATGTTGACAAATTTATTTTTTGAAACACCAATGATCTTGGTGACGTATTCAAAATCAAAATTTTGTAGGTTTTCTTACAGAATTTATAGTTTGAATTTTGTAAATAATTCTAACTAAACACTCCTAGGGATTATATTGGTCGTTTGAAATTCCAAAATAGCATCTGCAGGAGTATTCTATAAGCATTTGCAAATTAAGGGAGGTGAAGACAAAAAGTTGCCAACTAAACCAACAACTATTTTTTAATCAAAATAATAAATCAAGACTTAAGTCTTAGACGCAATTTATATTTATCTGAGATTCACAGTTAATTAAACAATCCCTCTCCCACTTCATTAGGCTGTGAAACACTGATATCCTCGATTGTATTTGTAATAACCAAAGGAATAATTAATATTACAATGGTATCAGTGATTTACGTGAATTTGATACTTTGTTAATTTTAGGTTTAGTCAAGTAGTATTAAACGTGATATCGTTGACGTATGGTTACTCACAATTTGCCTAATTGCAACCATATATCTTGTATTAAGATGATATTTATTCGAAAATAATCCTAAATTTCTAAAATGTTTTACATATATCTGGATATATTTGTTATTTGCATATTGATTGAACAAGTTATTTATTTTGTAGGACTAATGAATTCTAGTCTAGTATACATAAAGTTTTTTATCTCTCTAGCAAAATGATGTAAATTCACCTTAAGTTTAAGCTAAAGAAAGCAACGCTAAGTTTTGGAGGAATACCAAATGGGTATTCACTGTCCAAAAATGGTAATGTAGGTAGTTAAGGTGACTATAAACTATGGAAACAATGGCTTTTTACCGCCAGAAGTAAGACACTGTATACCAAAAACAGGGGAACTGGGTAACATTTTGTTATCATAAGTTACATCATCAGTTAAGTTTATAAATTCTCTAAAACCATTGGCAATTATGGATCGCTATGGAAAATATGGTTGTAGCCTGGTTAGTTTGATTATACATTCAAAAGTCATTTTGTACAGTCTAGTTAGAGTAAGTGTTTAAAATACAGAGAACTCTCCTTGCTACAAATTTATGCTAGATGTTTGGTGCTAAATTCACTCTCAGAGAATTTGGGAATAATGTCATCCACCGATGGATTAGGACTACCATAATAAATTCCCCGTAGAACTATCTTGCGTGTTATAGAATAAGAAAATTCAATAGGAAACTATGAAACCTATAAACGATAAAGAAATGTTTGGATATAATTATTTGCTGGTTCTTGACTTATTAAGAGGATCTATCCTTATTACAAACCATTGTAATATTTAAAAACCTTTAAACTTGGGAAACATATTTCAAGTATATGGGCCACTAAATTGTTTTTTTTTATACTAGCTTTTAATGTTTTGTGTTCTCCGTTGAAATAGATTTTTTTCTATAATTAAATCGGTTAAGCTAATGTGGATAAAATACACCCAGTCCCCATCGCGTTTTTCCCACGCAGATTGAACGTAAATGGCTAAATGTTTGATTAAGCTAGTTTAGAGAAAATAAGTTAGTTTGATTCGTTGATTAATCAATATCTCGGTGAATAAAAACGTATAGAGGGTTTTATTCATCCAACCCCAATTAAACTTCTTAATTATTTAAAAATGGATTACATCATATGTCTTGCAAAACAAAAAGATTATAATTTAAGACCCAGACAGTTGGTTTTTATTTACTTTTATCTTTTGAAATTAGTTATATCATACAAGTTGGACTACTTTATTTTTATGGAGCTCAAATACGGATGTGTAAATATACAAATCCTTTCATGTGTAAACTACAATATTAAGATTAAGAAACTCTTAAATTCAAGACCATCAGTATAGGTTTATATAAATCTTGGTTTAAGAATGTTGAACATTATTTTGTTAAACTTAGATTTTTCTAGAGATAAATAACATTTTATGTGTATTTAACGTAGTATTTCTTTCTGGATACATCCTTTTGAACAAGAGAACTTTTCTTGTGAAACACTAGCTGTTAGTAAAAATGCTATATCACGGGACATTAAACTAAGCCAAACACAAAGACCATTAAGAATGCAGGTTCAGAGATTCGCCTTCTAATAAATTTTCATAACCTATAAAACATTTTAACGAAGCTACTATGAATTTCTTCTAAATCTATAATAATCATTTTTTTAATTAACTATAGAGTTATATGTATTTAATGATACAATTATCTATAAAATTATATGGTAAGAACAATATAATATATACACGATTCGAATTATTCTTCTAGCATTTTGTTTACAATTTCCAACAACCTAACATGTGTTTGGTTCATTTATTAAAATACAGATATTTTTTCTTCGAAATAAAAGTTCACTTTTTTGCTTTCCCAAACATGTTCGTGGTGTCAGTATTTTCAAAAACAGATAAAAATAATTTGTTGATAAACAGACTTATTCTTTATGGTTTTATAGATTGTTTGCGTCATCAATTCAATGGTGAAAACACGCACACACCTCCGTGTCGCTAACACTAAGATCATTTTGGTTGCCGGAAATGAACTGCGGGCCTCTGACTGAATGTTTATGTGACCAAAACACGAGAGAGCGCAAGGCTGGATTATGATATTATGTCATGTAGTAAGTAAGCAACCATAACACTAGCGTATGCTACAATTACGGTATAGTAAGTCTGATAATAGATTAACGTTTTGTAGATAGACTTTTAGTGGGAGTGAACTGGTCTAGTGGTATAGTTTGGAGTGTGTTCTCTGACATTCCGGGTTAGATTCTTTCTGAGTAACCATTTTTAGCCACGCGCTAATGCCACACTCATGTGCAAAATGTTTTTTGGGCTAGACCATAGTGCCCAAGGAAGTGAATAAGGAATAAGAGAAGTAGAAGTTCTCTAGCAGAGTGAAAATTATTTTTACATTATAATTAGATTTTTCATTTTCTAGATAGGTGGGCTATGGTAGCTTAAGTCATACTGTTAATCTACTAGTTAATAGAATCACTATAATAAAAGGACCGTTGGTGGAATTTAGTATTTAAAACTACGATATAAATCCTACATGAACCAATAGATCTACTGCAGCCTTGTAAATACTGCGATTCGTTTTTAATAATAAGACTTACTCGTTCACCAGTCACCTAAACCAGTAAAAATTTTGAATTTGTCAAAATAACTAGATAGGAAGAAATCTTAACGAACATTTCATAATCATTTAAACAATTGTTTCTGCTGTAAAGAACCTAATCGTATAAGGGTTTTTGTATAACCATTTATCAGGTGTTAAATTTCATTCTATCAGACCTCCTAAGATTTTAAGACCTTACTTTATTGAAGTAAGCTGCCTTTTTTTTATAAAACGGAGCAATAATATAGAACAACATGTTAAATATAATTTGGTTCAAATTGGTAAAATGGCATGAAACAATTGTTATTCAGCAATAGGAGCTATAATAATGAAATGAAATAAAAAAAAAAACTTTTGCTCGGTTATAGTTATTGTGACGGTAAAAATCACAAGTAGTTGAAACACAATTCTGATATATAGTATTTCTACAAATATGCCTATTTACCCAAAGACATTTTTTTACCTTAAACTGTTTACAAGACATGAAAATAATATATAACTAAACATAGAGCAATAAAGCCCTGAGGTTATAAACCTGTGCGTGTACTATAATTTAGAACTACCTGACGTTAAAGAAAGTCAGTTATTCATTTTCAAAAACCCACAAATTTATACAAACATTTGGGACAAGATAAATGTATAATTCAGTAGGGCTTAGTGCCGATTGTGTTTATTTTTATAGCAACAACTTAGAACTTTATATTAAATAATAATCCCTGTTTATATATCATACAACAATTTATTACTTTTATCTCATGCTGATTTAAAGCGCAATGGCATACAATGTAAAAGTGTATTTAGAAATTCTTTTACGTATTTATTTTAAAAATTTGCTATTTAGTTGAGGTCCTTGTTCTCTTATTCCATGCAAATATTTCCCCGTAACTCTTTTTCGCTTTAACCTTTTTGTGGGGTTTTTCTGTGAACCACTTTATTCCTTGTTTTTCAGCGTAGCAAATGGCAGAACACCGGCTGGGGAATTCTAATTGGATATTTGAGAGACTATCTCCGCTGAAATAAAAATATAAAATAAACATTATAAATTAAAAATATCGCTCTCATTTTTATTTTAAACAAATATATGACGAGTTTGCTTCAAAAAGATAAGCAATTCTTTTACAGACAATCCATAAGTAATGCATCTTACCTTTCTTACATGTAAGAGCATTAATGAAGTATACACGAGCACAAAAGCCATAAGAGCAACCAGTACATTTTAATCCAAGCCATAAAATATATTTTTAGAATATTGGATTTAATATATTTTACCTTAAGTATAATTCGCTTGGAAAAAATTTAAAACCTTCATTTGACATATGTTTGGCAGTATTCATATTTGTATAGTTAAAAGAGCGGACAAGGAACACAAATACTGTTCGTAATACCGACAAATTTAACAGGAGCAGTTTTCATAAGAATTTTTTTCAATTTGTACCCTAATGCTGGGCACACCTTTTTAAGGAGAGAATTATACAATAAATAAAAATGAAATTTTCTTAAACTATCAAGTGATAATAAATATTTACCTCGCTGTCCAGCCCATGCATGGATTTTCCCATCTTTCTTTCGTATCATATTCTAATATCCAAGTATTTGTGTTATCAATCCCTTGCTGCATGACGTTCTTGGATCTCTGTGAAATCCTGGCAACTCGGTGTCGATAGCCTGGTTGTATATCTAGGACTAGGTTTTCCTAAAGAAAGTAAAATATTAATGGTTTAGTTTCAATAGCCTTATACAGTATGCAACTATCTCTTTGTGGAGTTATCAACAATAAATTACCAAGAGATTGCGGTATATTTAGTGGTTTCTAGGTCGACAATCTTTTTACTTATGGTTTGCAAAAATCTCACATTTGTGAACATCCTATCTAATTCATGAATGTAAATTATTTCTAGACTAAATAATTATCTAAACCTCTAAATATATTTCAAAACTATTCAGAAACTTTGTTATCTTTCCAAGGATAACGATCTGTCTTGTTGTACTTATTTGCTCATTATTGATGGAATATAAGATTTACTGTGATTATTATTATTACTTTTTTTACTTTATTTAATTGACAATCTGTTCAAGTTGAACAATAAGCAAATGATATAAATATTAATACAACATTAGCTTGAAGAACATGAGCTAGTGATTGACCACTGTCAACACTAGCTTACAAAGAGAAATTTTGATAACACAGCCAAATCTGAATGGGAGGTCCAATATCGTATGTCGCTTCAGTCTGTAAATGGTGTTGTGATTGTCCAATAAATTAAGTGCATACTGTGATTATGAATTATTAAGCAAATTGTAGTTGTGAATTATCAGCTGACGAATAATTTAAGGTTTTTATACGTTTTGATGTTTTTGTTGTCATGTTAAATAATCATCGTAGAGTTCGATTTGTGGTTTTAAGTGAAGAACAGAAAGCTTGTTATTTGTTGTTAAGATCTTTGAGGCATAAAATATAAATATGTTGGAGAAATCACAAAAAAATAAATTTCTTTAACACAAACTACATTAGATATAGGTTAATATGTATTAACATTTACTTGCAGGCGATATGAAATATTTCAGTTTGGAATAACACTTCAAAAATCCAATATGGTACAATTACCATACATATTTAAGTTTCTCACACAGATACTTATTTTACCAGATACGTTCAACTATAAGAACACAAGTTCAGGATCCTATTTATTTTAAGGAACCTAAGTTAAAGAACCTAATATTTCTCACACTATAACATGATTTTGTTAAATTGCTTACCATGTAGTTTGGAATCGTAAACTCTGGATCTCGTCGTTTAATTCCATGCACCTCTTCTTGTTCATTTAACTTCCTGACTTCCCTAAATTTTAAAGGGTCTTTCTTGGGAGCTTTGCTGAACATTCTCACATTATGCATTTTGATCCTTTAAAAATGTTTAAATGGCTATGTACTCGTATGATAATATAAAACTAGTTATAACTTTTTTGTTATTTGATTTTACGTTTTGATTTGAATATTCTTAAACGGAATCATGCTTTTTCGAACTATTATTTTAATAAACTACATACGTCATTGGAAAGATAATATTGCAAATGTCCTGCTGGATTGTAAGAAGACAACCGATAATCATTTTGAAGCCACAGCAGAAAACTATCAAAACCTCCAGAAATTGGCCGAAAACCGAGCCTAAGACCTGATATACAGTTCGAATTACTAATTTGGTATAACATAACATCTGATCCTACACTCATCCTTCACTCATATTTGGGTTAAAATACGCACATAGTGGTGTTCCCATCTTAAATAATTGATAATTGATAATTGATCAGCAAATGCTAAGAAAAATGCTGGTTGCTTAGAAAAATACCGTATATAATTTAAACGATTCACTTGTGTTTCCGTTAATAATAGTACCTTAATACTTTAATACTTTTAATACTTTAATATACTTTTCAATGAAATGGCAAAGTAAATAATACCTTAGAAAAACATTAAGAAAAAGAAAAGTTAAAAATAAATGATCTTATTAGACGTAGTTTTTTTTCGTACAATAAAATAATATCAATATTGGTACTTATATGGTGTTATACGGTGGTCACCCTCATACAGCGCTCATACAGGTGGTTAGGTTTGGTTGGGTTATCATAAACAGAAAGTATGACTCATCTGGTATCGTTCGATTCATAGCGAAACGAGGAAAAGTCCTACCCACATATTTATGATAACCTAACCTAACCTAACCACCGTAGCGTGCTGTAAAATATGTGACCTCCATATACTATCAAAGTACATTAATATTTTTCATGTTTTATTTTCTTGATAAATTAACAAGCTATAAAGCTATAAGTCGTCAATGGTTTAGTTTAATTTTATATTTGCCTGTAAATACAAGACTTGAGCAGAATGTATGGAACAAAGCTATCATTGGTAGATAAATTACAATATAATATTGTTTTGAACAAAATAGTGACAAGTGTCAGAATCCGAACCCACGACGACATCGCACTGCCAGCATGTGATTGAGCCAATAACTTCTAAAATTATTGTAATATAGGCCTATCATTTTTTTTTCATTAAATTCGTTTAAACATATTCTGTTCATAAATACTGTCTATATTATATCATTGATTGACACAAAACACCAACTTACAAATTAAAGAAGAGCCGTCTACTCATCTTGATATTTTCAGTTTTAAATTTTGAAAAATAACCTTTCAGAAGATGTTTAGTTTCCATAGTTATTATTACACTTACTGTTCCATTTTCTACATACACATAACACGCAGCTAAAGTAAAAAGCAATAAATATTAAGTTTGAACATTAGATGAAGGCTTTCTTTAAACTTGTGTTAACACAAAGGATCGACAATAATGCACAAAAGGGCTAGCAGGTGACAATGGCCCGAAGTAACTTGTAACTAACTTTGCCTCTAATCTCAGCGAGCCAGCTTAGAGCGCAATGCCTGTGAAAGTTTGATTACAAGTTTTTATGAAATATCTTACAAGTTACTAAACTTGAATAAGATTACTTTGGCTAGCAGGTTATGTTCATAAACCTGTTGCCTTTTTCTACACATTTTAGTTGTTTGTTTGACAGTTAATAGTAATGTAAAATAATTTTTTCAGACTATAAATAGGCTAAATTTGGGATGAAAGTTATTAGTCACGATAATTATTCACACTTAATAGTAGTTATTTGCCTAATATGACAAGAACGCCACGTTTATTATCATTTGGATCAATAACCAATATTAACTATGTTTACTAAATTCATAAATTGATTTTTCTTAAAACATTTCAATGTTTGAGAGTTATTCCTATCCGTACTAACACATTTATGAGAAGTCTTTTAACGTCCATGTAACAACTCTGATACGATCCCTTTTACTACTTAAGGTAAAGTAGCCCAATCCTTATAATTGCATGGTATATTACAACTGTCTCATTTTAGCCATACGTGCCTTTGACACTTCTCAGGGATAATCTTTATTGGTTATCTGTATATTACATCGACAAAACTAATGGTAAATTTGTTTGTTACAGATAAAATGACAACTATTTCGCTAGTGCTGCCTGTGCTCTTCGGGCTGTTATCTGGTAAGTTTAATTAATTGTGAAAATACAAGTTTCATTTTACTTCCTGGTCTGTATGCATGCATAACGGTCATTGTTGAGAAAGTATTGATTTCGCAATAGTACGCAACTATTGAAGAACAATTTGAATAAACATCAAATTGCAATGGATATAAAATGCAATTAATTTATAGTTGTTAACGCAACTATCGCGTAAAGATAGTGTTAACGACACGATTAGAAAATTTAAGGTACGAGCCTTGGCGAATGCCTTAAAAACTTCTACGAGTGTCGTTAACACTATTTACGCAAGTTGCGTACACTAATTTACCTACGACAGTGTTTTAATTACTAAAAACCACTACTCATAACATTTAAAAGAGGTTATGTTTCCGTTTAACCTCTCATTGCCACTGACAGTGATGCAACGAAACATGTACCAAACACTAATTGCACCGCTCAACAATTAAATTGACTTGAACAGCCGATTAGCTGACGTTGGAATCATTACAATTTTACTTCTTCTCTCTCAATCCTTGAACCTCATTGGTCCGTTGCCCGTTTTGTTATAAGTAAAACTATGCTGTTATGAAAATAATCAATGCTGCTAAGTGAAACCTTTAAATTCTAAGGACTGAGCTGAAACGGGGCTTCTTTTTTGGATGGCAATATCCGTTTTCGGCCTCTTGAAACAAAAAAATGGTTTTGAAGTTATGCGTGTGTGTTGATGAGTACAGAGCTAGTGACTACACCTGTACACAGATTTTAATGAAATTATGTATATGGGTACCATCCATTGTATCTTGAGTGAATTTAGATTTTTGGGAAATGTTATTTGTAATGGTGGTCCTCCCCCCCCCCAAAAAAAACCATAAAATAACGGAAGAATCTGGTTTTATACCTAGTTTTGATGACAACCATTTTCTTTATAAAAAAAAAAACCTCGAAACCAGCAAAATCCCTTAAAATAAATACCATAATTAACTTATTTTTGATTTCTTTAAATTAATAACTCTTATTGGTTGATTATATTTGAAAATTGTACTACGAAAATTAATTATTTTAATTTATTATATAAAACATATTTGAAAAATATCAATAGAAACAAAAGGTATTCTCGAACAATTCATAGCCTATTTCAGTACAATAATTTTCAAATATCTGTTTAGATATTGTTCAACGAATAACACTTTTAATCTAAAGAAACGTAGCCTAATTTTAAAATAAAAAAAGAATTATGAAAACAATTTTAGCCTTTACCGCAGGTGAGGGTTTTCACAGGTATTCAATATTCAATATTGAATATCCATCACAATCCATCATTAAGCTATTGACACCCAGACAAAGGTGATTTAGACGCTTCTTTCCAACAACATAATCAAAATGTGATAAATTATTTTGCGGTGTTTAATATTAAACTTTTGTACTAATTTATATTGAAAGAAAATTGAAATCAGTCTAAATGAATTGGATTTTGTTGAACAAACAAAAGTAATGAAATGAAATAAAATAAAAATGAAATGAAATGAAATAAAATGAAATGAAATGAAATGAAACTAAATGAAATGAAAGAAACGAAACGAAACTAAACAAAACGAAATGAAATGAAAATCGTTTATTTTTTCAGGCAAAGTTAGGGCCACATGGCCCTCTCTTACACTTAACCTGATAAGTAGTGTGTATCATGTAAGAAAAACGTATACACTTTTAAACTATTTTAGTATTTTTTAAATGTTCAGTGGTTTTCGTTCACGTTTTCATTTTACTATAAACCCCAGTGTATAACCTTCCCTGAAGCAGCAAACATAGGTACTTGCCTAATGATATTTGAATATGAATTAATGTATTTGAGTAAGTGAGGGAAACTCAATGAGAATGGAAATAAGCGTAGTCTGTAGGTTTTCTGAGGTGGGGAATTTTTTTTTCCAAACCACGTGCGAATGACAGTCACAGCAAAAAAACTATGAGTAAAGTTTTATGTTTAAGGCTAAGGTTCAAAACAGAGTTGGTAAAAGCATTTTTAAATGTTTTTAAAACGGTCTGAAGTCTGAAGCGCTTTTACTGCAGAACAATGAGGAAGGTCTTTGACTAATGATCTAAGAACACCGATTGTTACTCAGCAGAATCAAAATTAATGATGTTGAAACAGTTTCTCTTCTCTTTATTCGTATTATGAATTGCTATTATGAGAGTCTTTGTGGTGAAAAGTTATTTACCTCTTGAATGGTTAGAAAATAAAAACATTGTTCATTCTCAGGTTTCTTCTCGTAATAGAGGTTCATTCTCATAATGGGTTTTAAGGTTAAAATACTAAAGCGTTTCAGAATACTTTGTTTGTTTTATTGATCTTAAAAAAAGAAACATTTTAACGCTTTTTTCAACCTAACTACAATTAATCATAAAAAAATAATTATTTTTGCTATTTTAGGACATTTTCCGTTCATTCACCACCACTAGTAGAATGTGGTTAGGTTAGGTTAAGTTTTTCCAACTATACTAAACTCTATACTAACCTAAACAAAGTTTAATTCACTACCACTTCTATTGCTAATAATCTAATGCTTTAAAAAATAGTGGTAGTGAATTGACGGAAAAGGTCCCCATTTTAATCATTGCTCTTATTATGACAGGCTTATTTAGTTGGTAATAGGTGTATATGTTTACAATTAGCATAAACTAACTATACAATGTGGAAATAAAGTAACCAAACTTTGATTAAAGTTACTGGTTGTAAAAACAATTTTAAAACACCATTTAGTAGTGCACTACCTCCTCAGATGGACGTCCTGCTAAGAGTCAACAGAACATAATATAAAAAATATTATGACATACACTTTGGGTTATTTTCTTTCCTTTTTTGGAATGTTTAACCGTCCTGATGCTTGTTTGCTACTTTGTACAGTATAACTCTATTCAAAACACGTAAAATAATATTCACAAGGGTTTAAAAAGTATATAACCATTAAATGTTTTTAGTTTAAAACTTACACTGCAGTATACATAAAATCTTTAAAAGTTTTTACCTCTCGCTCGTAAAATCTCAAAGTGTGCTTTCTGCTTTGTTATAAAACTCTAAATAACCCCGGAATCTCAGCTCATTTCTCCGAAGTAGAAAGTTTAATGTCGTAAGAAATTGCATGAGTGTTATAAAACTTTAAATTGACAGAGACGAAGTGTAGCCCAGGTGACTTTTCTCTTAGTTTCGCGGAGAAATACATTTTTCACACATGGGAGTCGCTTTAAACAATATTATAAAGTGTAAAGTTTTTCTCAAGTTTACTTAGGCCAATGTAATTTTTAATCTGTTTCTTGTATAAAATTATACATCCTAGATAAAATTGAGCTGATTAAGTGGGTAAGTGCAAGGATTTGTTTTCAGATGTCCCGGGATCAAATCATGCCAAATCAACAAAGTTTTTTTTTACTTTGTGATAATGAACAGACTCCATAACCTGAAGTAACGGCTTTGAGCTATAACCTTAAGTTCTGGATGTATTCTTTCTTTTATAGTCACAAAAATGCTGTAGTCCTATCAGGGAGCTATCTGGTCTAGAGTTAGAGCCCTGAAGCCCAAGGTCCCGGGTTCAAATCCCACCTATCACTAGAAGATTTTATATATGTGATAATGCCACAACTTCTAGGTCTAGACTGAAGTAATGTGTAAAACAGTTCCAGACTAGAACATAGCACCCTAGAATATGACAGTAGGAGAAAAAACTATAATTTTTTGTCTTGTTATTCTGGAAAAAATGTAACTTGAACCATTGAAAAACAATGTTATGGCATGCAAATTTACGTTATACAGTATTACGTTGTGCTAATATTATTATGTTAAGGTACATCACCAATGATTTTGGAGGTTTTTCCTTTTCCAACCAGTGACGTGCCCTAGTGGGCAGAAAGTGAGGCTGTAATTGGTGTCAGATGTGGGATGCGAGGGCTCTCTTCTCGAGAGGTCCTTGTTATTTCGCACAATTAGAGCTTGCCCCTTGTGTCTACCCCCCCCCCCCATCCAACCCCCCCTAGGTGCACATCAGTGTTTGTTCGAGCGTGCCTCGCCCCCGGAAATACACGGGCACGCTCCTGACTCGTGCGGTCTTTATGTACTTGTCAACCTTGAGGAGGTTTGAGAGGGCAATTACATATGTTGGGAGACAGATGTTTCATTGGAGTTGGAACTGAGTTGAGAATTTTTAAATTTTGAGAAGGTTTTGTCTATGATGGTTGAATGGGATATAAAATAAGTTGTTGGAAGTATGTTTCCATTTGTCTGGTATAAGAAATAAAGTTTGTGTAAGAAATCTTACCCGGTTTTACTGACTAAATTAATTCCGTAACTCAATTATGGTGATTTTTTTGCAGTATTAAAGGGAAAGTAACGTCTACCTTTCACTTATATCACAAGTTGCTAACCAGTTATTTATTTGAGGATATCGAGATGATTCTCGAAACATAAGTAAGATTCAGACGATTTTTGCTAAACAGGTTTTGTTTATGTATGCAACATAGAAGCATATCCATAACTACCCATAACTGTTAGCTTAGAACGTATAATGTAACATCGATGCCATAATTTGTGATTAGTATCTTATTTCGTAAATCGACCCTGCGGAATTGAGAAAGAAGAATGCAATTACAATTTAAACTAAATCAAATGTAACGGCTTTTTTGTACTTGTTCTTATGTGGCATTGAAAAATAAATCAACTTAACATGAACACTTTTTTGTCACTTATTTGTCAAAACTATGATACCGAACTTTTTCGAGAAATTCTAGATGAGTTTATTTATTCCCAAATAAAGTATGAATAGCTTGGGGTAAAAAATTAAATTCGACTTTTAACAAAACCTGTAATTCTTTAAGTAGCCTATTTATTTATTCAGGTTTTGAATAGCTCAGAATAACTCAGGCCACTTGGGCAGTGATGTTCTAAACTAAACATGATTTTCAACCATCTTTTTGCACTAATAGATTTAAGATCATGTCCTTTAATACTTGCAAAAATCTATATTTACCAATTAAAAAAATAAACGATCTTACAGTAGGCTATATGTAAGCATATGGCAAGCACACGTAGGACCAAAAATGAATTGTATATTCCAGACTTATTAATGATCAAATAATTCAATAATGAATTATCCTATAAAAGAGACACTCTTTTTTAAAACTGTTTATATAAAAAAATGTTTATAACTGTGATCCATATAACACATATTAACAGCTTTGCGATGGATTTCCGTAACTTACATCTCACTGCTAATCTAAACATTATGAACAATTTTTGATACATGCTGTACTTTAACTTCAAATGATTCTCAAATGTAACCTTATCACCCCCCCCCCCCCCCCCGTAACTCTGTTATATTTATTTATGAAAAAAATTTAAAGTAATTAAAAACACTGGTCACTGAAGATTACATTACACTTGTAACCATATTTCCTAACAAAATAACAGGTTCTCGTAAATCTAGTATTACAAAATCATCCCTCAAACCCTATATCTGTTCCAGAAGGAGCGATGCTCTCCAGACACGCCCAGGGACCTGTGTTCCTCCAGGAACCTCCCCCGTGGGTAGAGTTCTCCAACTCCAGTGGAGCCGTCCTCAGCTGTTCCGCCCATGGGAATCCGCCCCCAGACATCCGGTGGATAGATGCCTCGGAGAAGGAAGTCTCTCACATCCCTAGACTAAGGTGGGTACTGCAAACATGTATATTATATTGGTTTGATATTTCAGTTCCAGTTCGGATGACTCCAATAAGGTGTGCACAACTTCTTGCGTTTCAAAAAAGTTTAAAATCTTGTCTGTAGCAAGACCAATCTATGCGATACCTATTAACATACAATAAATTAAACTTCCTGACTTTCTTGATCTACCGTAAGGAGTGATATACCTAACTCAACTAGGTTATAATATTATTAAATAAGGAGCCTGTTTAAACCCGGTTTATATAAATATTTACATCTCTTTATTTACAATCTGAGTGGTTTTGAAATTCAAACTGAAGGGAAATCTGTTAAACAGTGCTAATATAAATCATTATAAAGAAAGTTGGTCATCACCACCTAATATTTGTAAGCGAGCTCCATAAACAGATTTAATGTAAAGGAGGCGAAGTCCTAAATGAAATTACCTTTTTTGTTCCCCTGCTCTATTATATTCTTTTAAGTGACACCTTAATCGTAAATATTGGTTATGTAAAACGGCTGAAAAAGGGGCGTAACAGAGAAAGACCTTATTGTATTTCTTGGATAGTTATAACTGCATTTTACTATAAGAAAGTTTAAATTTTAATGCATAGCATTTAACAATATCCATTGAATTTGGTCAATGCCAAAATTGCGGTTAGTTTGGTTGTGGTTGTGTTTTTATTTTTCTTATATTTTAACATAATTGAGTATTTTTTTATCAGTTTAAGTAGCAGTAAAAAAAGCTTGGGTAGCTGTGGCAATGAATATAAACCAACTGCAATTTTATTTAGTGTTTTGTTTGTTTGTTAAATTTTGTAAACTGTAAACTAGAAGAGAAAAAATGCGTTACAAAAACACTATTCAAATAATAAAAAAATTAGTAGTCTAAGTAACATGAATAAAGAATTATAGACGACACGAATAACTGTAATATATTGAAATATTAAACATTGACGTAACTTAAAGTGTAAAAAAGTCAGTAATCAAATGAATGTTTAAACAATGAAGTTTTAAAGCTGAAAGCCATTTAATAGCCTCTGGAGAATAACAATTTGCGGTTGGATTATGAAAGTGGTTTTATTGTTATCGTCAGCCCTTTGCTTCAATTGACAGCTGATTTATTTAAATAAAAGGTCTTGTTATAGTTCTTTTATTTTACTAAAAGAAGTATATTTCATAAGGCTTCATTTCCACAAAAAAATCATTATTCTTAAACGATTTCGTTGAAGTTTGAGTTAAATTGTGCATACTTCTTGATTACTGCTTTGGTTTGATATTACTGTATTTTATGTTTGTACATTACGTTGCTAATATGAAAAGATTAATCTTATTTTGAAATATTTATTTATTTTATACAATTTTAGTTGTCCATTAATTGCGTACTATTCATGATTGTTTGCCTTTTGTTTGCCCTATTTTTTTACAATTATATTTGTTATAATATTAACGAGGACGAGTGAAATTTTGAATCAAACTTCACTGATGTGTTAGGAGTTTTACACACACCATTTATTACAAATCAAAATACGCTATATCGTTAAGGTGATGATTGAGGTGATCCTCATACGATCCTGTCAAACACTATTTTTTTATTAAGGTTAGGCAATAAAAGAAATATAAAAAAATAATACACTATATGTTATTTTTAACCCATGAGAAATTATCAACTAGAAATTGTTTTTTATCGTATGTGGAAGTCTTTCAGTTAAATACTTGAGCCCTTCAATTCCATAAATAGAACTATAAATTTAAAATTATCATAAAAACCAATTTACATAATTTTAATATTTTTAAACACAAAATAGATACAATTATACGCCACAATATTTAATATTTATGTTAAAGGGTTTTATAAAATGTTGTAATCAGATTTATTTCTTCATAAACTGATATCAAAGGTTTATAAATAGATAACCTGTAAGTCGGGTTGTGGGTTTCAATGAAGCATAAAGAAGCACGTAATCAATTTCCCAGCTCAAAGTGAGCATTGGAGTATATTTTTCTATTCACTGGTCCATAAAGTACATCTTAAAGAAAATGTAATGTACCCTGGAGGTGAGGTTATGCAGCAAAACTTCTCAATGGTTTCCTGCTTTTGACCAGAAGATTATATCCATCTTTATCACAGTAGGTTCATGCTTCGATAAAGTTTTCGCGGTTCTAGGAATGGAATTCAGTAAATGCAATGCAAAAATTTTTATATTTACTACAGATTATTTATCATAATTTATATTTCATTGGAACCAAAATAACTTCTAGGGGTCAATCTAATACAGTTCACAATTAGTGTAATTAAAAGTAGCTAGGTTTTAATCTTTGTTTGATACTATGCAATCAATTCTGTGTCCATAACACCGTAATGCTATTATTTGGCTTGTTAACAATGCTTCTATACTTTAAGGTGAAAACTGGTTGCTGTATTATTACTGCGCCACTCACATTACACAAACCACTTAAAAGAGCCTAGATTATTTAATTTATATTATGCTCAGATTATTTATCAATAACCATCGTTTAATTCGCTATCTCAGTGTTTAAAACGTTTAATAATCCATTATACTAAAGCCGGGTTTTCCTAGGCACGGAGTCGGCGAGCGGAGAGAGGAACGCGGAGAGCGGACTCAGCTTGTCTTAGGCAATTTAATGTTACTGTTTTCCTAGAAGCGGAGCGGAATGCCATGTTAATTTCAATTCCGCTCTCCGCGTTCCTCTCTCCGCTGGCCGACACCGTGCCTAGGAAAACCTAGCTTTAGATTTTATCCTGAGAATGATATGATTCGATTGTGTGAAATTATTGGTAATGGTTCAAAACTAGACCATTCCTGTCCTAAACTATTAAGTTATTAATAAATAATCTAGCGAAAGATATATAATCTTGGGTATCGGAAAAATCTAATATATTATCTTAATTAATTTGTATTGATAACTATTTGCTCTAAGTAATCGTATGTAAACTTTATAATTAGATCGATGTATGATTTGTATATATCAAAACTAAACGCTAAGATAGCTAGTTTTAATTTTTATATATTGTTATTAATATGAAAAGTAAGGATAACGTGAAAACCACTGATAATTTAGATTTTCCATCTACACAATACGCTGTTTAACTGCGATGACCTTCTGTTTTAAAAGGCATATCTGCACCTACAAAACTATTACCACCAAAAGTGTTCCTAAAATTAGGATTACTTACTGAAGTAGCACTGTTTTACAAAACATCATTTCAAAATTACATTTCATTCAAGACCAGCATTGCTGGTTAAGAAATTAATACAAAGCGTCAACAATTCACAATTGGGAAGATCTACAAGAACGTTCTGTTTGTAAATTCAGATCATGCTCTTCACTTTAGCTCGTACTCATAGCTCGGGTAAAATATGATCTTCTGTTTAGGTGAGAACAAGATTTATGACGTTCAGAATGACGTCTGGCAAACAATCCATCAAGCTTAAGGCGTGAAAACTTCACAAATGTACTCAAGTTGGCCTTGAAACTTATGAATGTTTGAATATCAATGTTTCTGAACAAATCATGTCTTCAATATCCCTAATACGTAAATTATTTTAACTGATCATCGAATATCAGATAAGATGCATAATTTTGAGCATGATGTAAATAATGCACTACTCCGTTGTCTATACTTTAGGTGTTTAATGTTTGATGTTTAATGTTTATTTTTAAACTGAAAAATACAGTTCGTGGTATTTTACATAATAAATTACACAATCCTTGACTTAAAAATAACTTACAAAATAATATTATAACTAAATGGCACAAAGAAAAAAAACCTTATCAACTTATATGGAGATGGTCTACATAGGCAGGGCCTGTGCGTAGACATGAGTTGCGGGCAATTTGTTTAGTGAATGGGAAAATTATTTTTGGAAGTGATTGTTATCACATCTGGACATAAATGTCGTCTTGCTTGGAACTGGACTACGATGGTTTGGCCCCAAACCATATTAATCATGTAAATATCAGCGAAACCTTATATTTGGTTGAGTATAAGAAAGTAGACATTACGAGTTTTTCATGGTTGAAAATTTAAAACTTTACTATCTAAATATTCGTGAAGAGGAAAACGGAGACGATTATTAATTTACAAATAACTCAATGTATTTTTAATTAACTAAACCATGAGTTTATAGCTATTGTGTGTGTGTGTTAATTTATCATACCTTCCAAACATTTTGCATTAATTTTGGTGGTTAAGTACTAATGTGATAATGCAGGCATGGTTTGCTCAATAAACGCTTTTTTACCTCTGCAGTCGCTACCAAATTTTCAATACTTATACCGATTTGGTACTTTTCATCCTTTGGGTTACCTCAGGTACTATTCCGTCTGTGGGAATATAATTGAATAAAAGTAAAAAAAACAAATACGTCAAATAACACTTATAATACATTTAGGCCTATACTGTATGCTTTTAAGACGGTAAATACATAAAAGATGGTAAGTGGTGATCAATTTAGATTGTACCTATCATCGTCGAACCCAATAGGCGAATGGCAATAACCCCGGGCGTCCCTAATACTATTGCATATATATAAATTGGATGGTTTAAAAATACACATTCTTACAAGCACAATGGATGTTCAGCTTTTTTATTTTCTTGTATGTCGGATAAAAAAGTAAGGCGATGGGAAGTCTGTGACAGACACGGGAGGGTACAATACAACAATACAAAACAATACAATACAATGCAATACAATACAATATGGACGTTCTTTACTCTGAAATAATAATGTCAGCTGCAATCGTACATTGTTCTTCTTACCCTACTTTTCAGTATACATGATTTTAAGAAATACAAGCATGTCTCATGCAATTTTAAAATATAACTGTTAAGTGATAGGGTAATTACAATAATTGTAGAACCTTATACGGCGTCGTTTAAAAATAAACCCATCGATTTATTTTAAACACTTATAATTATGTGTTTAAGATAAATCAATGAAATTTATTGTTTACGACGTCGTGATTTGCATATTTTAAG